AGCCTCTCCAGGACCCCACTGCACTGAGTGTCTCCATTGTCCGGAATCTCCACTGTCTGCTTATCACCCCAGATTAGGCTTGCCCCCAAGAACAGCTAATCAGAGTGCTAGCTCCCATTGTCCAAGTGACTCTGCCCGCAGGGACCTCCTTACCACAAACGCGGATGCCAAGGTGCAGGGGGAGGCGTGGCGTGCCAGGGTCACACAATGCAGTGGTGTGTTGGGAATGAACACAGATCTACCCTTGACACCATCCTGACTTGCTAAAGGGATGGAGAGATTCAAGTAACAAGGGAAGCCCTCAGGCCTGACCCCTCTCCCAGGCTCTGGCGACCGGCCTGAGGAAGGCCTCGCACCCCCGCACTCACATCAGGTGGTCGCACACGGAATCTTTGGTGTTGTCCATGGACTGGGGTGCTGCCGGAGCCTCCTGCTGTATCTCCTCCTGAGCTGCATCAGAGGACGTGTCACGACACCCTCACACACCCGCTTCTCTCCTTCCCCGCTGCTTGCAAACTCACCCTGTCTCTCCCTCTTTGGGGTCTATTTCTTAAGAAACAAGCCCTGGTTGGTTATGAAAGTGCATTAGATCAAGCCTCTGACTGCTGATGGCAGAGAACAGCCTGTGAAAGTCCGCCTGGGATGCTTTCCTCTGGGAAAGATGGTCCCGGCAGGCTGCCCTGACACCCTCACACTGAGCCTGTTCATCTCACAGGCTTGCCACAAAGGTGCCCTAGTTCATTCTCGTTACTTCTGTCTGCCTGGGCCTCGAGGGCCCCCACTTTTGTCATGTAACAAGAAGAAAAGGGGCCTCCAGAGAAGGAACAGGCACAAGCTCTTCCTTCTCCATCAGTCCACGGAGGCCCCGGCATCAGCAGGACCTCCCCAAGCCCTGAGGCTTCCTCCCCACCTTGCAGACCTACCCGGGTCGTTGTCTTTCAACGTTGCAATCTCTCCTTCTATTTTTTTATGGTGTTCAGTCACTTTTTGGAGTCTTTCTTCCAGACTCACGATGGTCTGTGAGTGTTGCTTGATTTGTTCCTTGTACTGCCTGATTTCTTCTTCAAACTCATATTTCTGGGATTCTTGCTTTTCCTGGAAGGTCTTTACTGTCTGCTGTTGCAGATGCATCTGCTCCTCCATCATGACCTGGGAAAGCAGACACAGCTAGCGTGACCCTGGGAGCCAGACAGGATGACAATGACAATAGGCCCCTTTGGTACCCACAGGTGCTAAACTCAGTCCCACCCAGGGCCTTTGCACGTGCTGTTCCTGCTGCATGGTGCACTCTTCCCTAGCTGCTGGCAGGACTGACGCCTTCTCCTGTTTCAAGTCTCGACTTCGTGTTGCCTCCTCTGAGAGGCCCTCTCATCATATGCCTCCTTCTCCCTGGGTGCGCCCGGCCTGAAGCTTGCCTGTCTCCCTGGCTTCCCTTTCCTTGGCACCCATGTCCCGTCCCTCGGTCATCAGCCCTTTCTCCATTTCTCTTGTAGCTCTTTATGGCAATGACTTCCTCCCCCACCCTGCCATCCTGAGTGTCCATGTCCTGATGATTCCAGACCACAGCACCACAACCACCGGCCACGCCTGAGCCTGTCTCTCCAACTCCAGTCCCTCTCCAACTCACTTGTGTCCTTGTACCATATGGAGATGGGTCTCACTACCCCCTCGCCCACAGACCCGACGCTGGAAGGTCTGAATGCATGAGCCAGGCAGTCAGGGTCCTGACTGTGGGCCTCAAATGCTGAGCTGAAACTGAAACATCTTAATGTCTGCAGCGTGGTCACCACTCACTGAATTCTGGGGCTTTTCAGCCCTTCGGCTGATCCCGTGAGGACCCCGTGTTGCAATGTGCCGGAAAGAGCCATCTCAGCCTTTGCTTACCTTTCTCAGTCATGTTTCTCAATGGGGGTGACCTGGCCCCCCAACCCCCCAACCTCCTCACCCAGGACATTTGGCAAAGTCTGAAGAGACCCTCGGGCTGCTGCGAAACATCCTTTACCCTGCAAGAAAGAGTTACCCCAACAGCGCTGAGGCCGAGAGACCGCCGAGAAACCACAGATTCTCATGCAACGGGATGGTGCATCCAGGGAAAAATGCGCCTTCTCTGCAAGGCACCAACTCACCATTTTTGTCTTGGCTGTCTCCAGCTCAGCCAGTGTCTCCTTCAACTTCAAGGCGAGGCCCTCTGCTTTGAGACTCTCCGACATCTTTGCTTTCTGAGTCTCTTCCAACATGGCCAGTGTATCCTTTAATTTATTGTTTAAAACATCTTCTTTTTGCTCTTTTGAATCTATTTCCTAGACAAACAGCAAAAGTCAGATTAACAATTCAGGAATAAATCTTTGCCCCAGCCTCCTCCGCCCCCTTTACAAAGAGGAGGGGAGGCCTCTTCTCTTTCTGTGGGTTCTTCTCAAGTATGAACTCTGGGATTTCTCTGGAAGGTTCCCATGATTCTAGAACTCTTTTTTCACATCCAGCTGCGACCTGTCTCCTTGTGATTCTGGTCTATGAGCTCAGTTCTGTCACCTGGAGCTCAGAGTGACTTTTATTTCTCTTTTATGAGACAGCCCTTTAAATATTTGAGGAGGGCTGTCATCTCTCTTTCTAAACCTATTTTCCAGGATAAATGTGCTAAGTTCCTTCCGCCCTTCGTCAGAGGACACGTGTCCGCTTCCTGCGTGTCTTCCACTCTGGGAGGCTCCTGCCCCCTCCCCCGGTCCCAGGGAGGGGTCTCCAGTCCCCAAGTCCTTGAGTGTCTCACCCCGTCCCCTGGAACCCTTTCTTGTAGTCTTTGTCAAAATTCTGCTCTCGTCCCCGAGACCTTCCTCAAATAATGTGGGTTGTGGGTGTCATGGCCAGCCCTGAGCTGGGGGCTTTATGAATTTCACTTATTTATTTAACCTTATATTTCAACAAATTTTTATGTTCATTTTTGGGGTTACATTTTTGCTCTTGCATGTGTGCACCTGTCCCACTCTATTTGATCTTATTTTTTAAAATTTTATATATTTTTTACATCATTTTTCATTTTTGTACAATGTATGCATTTTCATCTTGGTTATAGTCCCGTATTTGACCTTATTTTTAAGAACAGTTTTAGGGGCCTCCCCGGTGGCGCAGCGGTTGAGCGCCGGGTTGCGAAGCCGGTTTGATCCCCGGCTGCTCCCGGCCACCGGAGGAGGGTCCCACATGGCGCGCAGGCCTCTCCTGCCGCCCGCTGCTCCCCTCAGCAGTGTACTTCGTCAGTCTGCCTGCTCGGCTCCCCGCTCTGGCTCTGGTGAATTCTCTCACCCTCCCGCGCTTCTGACTGTCCCCAGTGCATGTATAAATAAAAATAAATAAATCTTTAAAAAAAAAAAAGAACAGTTTTAGGTTTACAGAAAAATCGAGAGGACGGCACAGATTTCCTACAAATCCCCCATATGTGCACGGCCCTCCCCGTTACTGTGAGGTACCTCTACCACCTGCCGTGGAGGAGGACCTGGCTTGTGCTGTGCTGGACCCCTGGGCCTTCTTATGTCTCCTTCTCTTCTAGAATTCTATTTTGTGGACGAGTCCAATCTTTCCATTGCTCTTCTGCTCCCCCAAGTAA